TTTTAAAGTATTGCAGACGTTGGTGGTTGCTGTCGAGAAGTTATGACCATGGTCATTTCCGTATCCTATTCCAGGCAATGGATTAAAAGCAGATTGACCAATACTTTCAAACAGTTGCCTACAGATTTGAGGATTTCCCGTTCAAAAAATCATTACAATTAGAGCACGGTAGCTTAATTGACTCAAAATATGTACTTTCATGAATTCGAGCGGACTTTAGGAATTCTGAATAGATCTGGAAAACTCTGTGTGCGATGTTTGCATTGTCGTAGTTGGTAGTTCAACGTGTGAAGGACTGGGAACAGCGAAGCTGACACTCGAAACTCTTCTGTTTATTTGAATTTAGCATGAGCATTAAAGAGAGAAATCATAGATACAGTAGCGCTGAAACGTTTCGGGGTGGAATACTTTTCCGACTGGAACTTCTCTTCTGCTGGATCAAATCAGTTCAGATTTTCAAGTGTTTTGAAGGCCGACGTTCTTCATTGGACTGGCCTGTTAAATTAAATGGAAGAAAGAATTAGTGAAAAAGCTATCCCACTGCAAATCTCCGAGTATGACCAAGTTCCAATTAAATTTCAAAGTATTGTAAAAAGCTTACAATTCAACAAAACAATCTAACAGATGATGAAAAATATAAAGCAAATTCAACGCTTTGTTTCTAAGCTTCTCTGGTCGCTGAAATCTTCGACGGCTTAGGTATGGACTTATTGAATAAATGCACTTTCTACCGGGACAACTTCCTCCATTTATTTCTCCAAATCTGACAAGTTTTTCGTCCACACTCATGGGTCTTATTTCTGCCGAAGGTTTCTCTAAACCTTCCTAATGTTCCGATGGCACTCAGTACATATATGTGTGCGAGTTGGTTCCATACTTAATGCGCCATGCTGTCGAAACCCTCATTCACAATAGAGGTCCGATGCTTTTGGTCGCACAGAAGACAACTCAGAAGCGTACAGTTGGCATAAATTATGATACGTAACCCATTTTGACACTTAATGCCTATCGATTACGTCCGCCTTCTACCAGTCTCCTCCCAATCCTGTGTGGTGACCTCGGTACCTTTACGGTCTCTCACCACATGAGCCTTCGCCTTGTTTGTTTCACGAATGGCTGTTGATAGTTGGATCGGAACGTTTTCCCAGTCAGGATCCAAGCATGCCTTACTGCCTGTCGCCAAACAAACTTCTTAAATTTCTTCCCTTTCTCCCACATGACTATGGAGCCTTGTGAGGAACCCCAAACTAACCATCAGCAAATTTTAGAATAAGATGTCTTGAAGTGAATAGTTCATTCGTTGACCGCGAGATTCTCAGGCGCGCATCTTCAGGGGAATATACAGAGTTGTGCGCGTTGGCCATAATTCTTAGTGAGCCAACTGAAATCCTGTCCATATCATTTAGCAGGATTAAAATACAAAGTGTTTGAAAAGAATATGAAAGGGAAGCAATTATTCTATAAGAGGAATTAGAAAAAAAATGTGCCTTTCGAATGTATATGGCAATTGTTTATAAATGTCGGACTTTACTCGTTTTGAACAAGGGACTCTACTTCGTTATGGAACAAACCTAAATATGCAAAGTGAACGAAAGACGAAAAACACAAAGTATTTAATACAATGGTCATACATGAAATAATTTGTTTTTTTTGCTAGATATATTAGAAGCTATTTTTTTTACTAACCGAACTGGGTGGTGGGGGGGTGTCGGGAGGTAGCTGCGCCCTGCACCGCCCGCTGCTGCGGTAGGAGGCCTGCGATGCGTTGACCCTCGGAAAGGCGGGGCGCCCTGGCCGCACCCGCGCGGTGGTGCCCGGTCGAGGCGCGGCGCCGCCCCGCCGCGTGGGAAGAGGGGAGGTGCGCGCGCGACCCGCGCCGAATCCACGGACCGGCCGCGGGCAGGGCCGGTCGGACGGACCGCCTGCTGAATGTAGCCCGGCCGTGCCCGGCGCTCGCTGTCTCGCGGCGGTGCGAGGGCGACCTGGGACCGAAGTCCTCGGGGAGGAGGGGGAGGGGAAGGTGTGAGTGGACAGGAGGTGGGGGGGGTGGGGCGGGGATCGGGACGTGACGAATGGATGGCGGTGAGTAGAGGGAGGGGGCGGGTGGAATGAGAGCGGTGGACGGGGGAGTGGAGGCTGGGGGGGAGCGCGGGGGTGATGTGAGGGGAGGTGCAGGGGGGGCGGGGCTGAGAGGGGAGGGCGCGGGGACGGTAGAGATGAGTCAGTCAGCCCCCTGGTAGTTCGTAGGTCTGCGAGGATGGGGACGGGCAGCGTGCAGCTGGCGCTGGTCATACGGGAGGGCTGCGGGTGGGAGGGGGGAGAGGTGATGGCGGCGGCGGGGGGTGGATGTCGATAAGGGGTGCAGGGGCGTTTGGTACGCAAATGAGGATGTGGGGGAGGGTAAGATGGAGGAGATAGACAGCTGGGGGGGCGGGATGGGAGGGCGGGCAGGAGGTATTCAGGAAATGGTGAGCTTTCTCAAAACGTTTTTTGCATGATATAGGAGTACAGCATGGAACCCAAACTGTAGTTCATTTTTTGCTGAGCGCCCTCTGAAGACCGAAAAGGGTCCCTAGTTCGATTCCTCGTAGTGACGAAATATTTTTGCATTTCGAGTTAACGTCTGAAAATTCGCGCAAAATCGGTCCTAATCATGAATATGGTACTAATTATTCATGCCGACTCCATTTTGCGCGAATTTTGAAACGTCAACTCGAAATGCAAAAATTTGTCACCACGAATCGAACTAGGGACCCCCTTTTCTGGTTTCAGAGGGTCGCTCAGGAAAAATGAACTACAGTTTGGTGTTCCATGCATGTACTCCTATTCATGCAAAAAACCGTTTTGAAAAAGCTCAGCATTTCCTGAAAGACCTTATTCGTAAGAGCACGTATATTTCTGAACGTACTTATTGACTGGTGCACTTTTCAATCAAGATTCCGAAACTTCTCCTGCCTAACTGAAACAGACCAAACTTCTTCGAATCATGTTAATGACAGCCATGGTAGGCCCTAGTTATTTTCCTTCATGTTAAAGATAGCTATAGTAGGCCTTAGTTATTTTGCTTCATATCAATGATAACTATAGTAGGTCATGGTTGTTTTGCTGATATCACGAATGCCCAAAAATACACATAGGAAGGCGATTGATAGCTGGCACGGCATCTGGCAAGGGGGGTGTTCCAGGGCAAGCCACGCTTTTTCAAAACGGTTTCTTGCACCTTGTAGGGACGCATGAAGGGACTGCAAAACCATATCTCATTTTCGCTATTGGTTTTAGCAGTTAATGAATCAGAAAAGATGCATGAGGTGCTGTTAATGGTACGATCCCACGTAGCGTATCGTAGCAACCAAATTTTGCATTTCGATTGGCGCCTACGGGCTAGTGCCAAATCGCGCCAGATGTCAAAATCATATGTCAAATTCATCTTCAAGACCATTTTGAACCCAACAGGTGGCCGTTAACCTTGATTGCAAGACTTAGTCGCCACGGGGATCGAACCATCAAGGGTATCATTCACCACTTTTTTGGTACTACTAAAGCGCTTCAGCGAAAAAGACACATGGTTTGTAGTCCATCCATGCGCTTCTACAGAATGCAAGTAACAGTTTTCAAAAAGCGCGGCTCGCCCTAAAAGAACTCCTTGTGAGCGGCCATCGTCACAATGCGTGCGGCCCTGGAATACCCTTGAATGCAGCATTCTAAATAATATAAGGAATCTTTTTGACGGGTTTTTCTTTTTTATGTTTTTTTTTGCAATAATCGCTTCATATTGATGGGGTGAATTGAACCGAGTTGGGTGAATTGAATTTGCGCGTCATGCATATTGCAATAGGTTAAGATCAAGTTTCAAAAGTTCCAAAAGTTCAGCCCCTTTTGGAATATGACGCCAGAAATCTTTGGATCTTGTGAAGCATCTTGCACAAATCACGCTGAGTAATTGCATCTTCAGACTCAAAGTGACAGAAGAAAGGACCTATTCGCCAGGCTTTGAGTTACAATTTTCTACTGAGCCGCAAACCGATCAAAGCAGAAAGTATCATTTAATGCGATATAATTGCTCATCCACCATATCGAAATGGTCATGTCTTCTTGCTTCAGGAGCTTATAGCCTTGAAGGAAAATCTTGTTCAGGAAGGCGATCGATGTCAGATTCAAACCAACTGCGCGCTCTCTCCTGAATCCTCCCACACGAGTTCCGGCTTTGTGGCCAGAACACTAAGTAGTTTCGAACACAGTTCATTAAGGTCTCTGCTCCCACAAAAAAGTATTACAGCATGGCTAAACGATTTCTCGCGATTTGATAAGATGTCGAATGAGTGCGACACACGAGCACAATCCGCGATTTTTTCCCAGTCTCCATGCCTGACCCCTCAGATTGCCGTTGTTAAAGATGTTAGAGATGTAACAGCCCAATATTAATTATACGGAGAGACCACTGGCAGAATCGGCCAGCAAATCTTGAAAGTGACACATTTGCAAAGGGATGTGCTATCCGTCTGGTGAAGTGTTTGCGGATGAATCACTGGGAACTTCCCCTTCGCTATAGCATTGAAGCTATCAAGGGGATCTACAACTAACGGCGAGTGCCTGCGAAAACGATAAACAATTGTCCCCACACATTTCAAAGGTTGCGCAACTCGAAATTCTGAGAGTCACTTGAGAAGACCTACCAAATCCACCGTGTAAGGCTGATTAGCCTCCATTCGACTGCTATCTATTGCTCTTGATAAGCATTCAGTTTGCCTGTGAAAAATACGAGAAAAAGAGCTTCGAGCTCACGGCTCAAACAAAAGTGAACAAGTTGACCACTCAGTTCTTGCGTTGTACCACTTACAATATATTAATTTCAGGTAGAGGCCAGAGTTCGACACGTTCATCGACATCCGTTCTCGGAGACAGCAACCAGGAGAGAGTTTGTGCGTCCAAGAAGATTCAAACGTGGTCAAGAACCTCTTAGTGATGCTCAAACATCGACTGGATCCGAAATCAAAGTTAATATGCAACAGAATGTTGAGACAATGCCCATCAAAGAGCAGTTCTCTATGGGGCCAGAGCAATTTGTGACCACACGCAAAATCATCAAATACCAAATGGATCCTGTTAAAGTTATCAGGCGTACATTCAAGGTTGTACCGGAACAGATGCAACGCACATACAAGCTGCAATATAACATGGTGAGCGAGAGTCTTTGACTAATTGTATTACCTTCACATTGACAGAATCAGTCAACTGCAAATGTATTAGCGGTAGCTTTTCCAAAATCAAACTCATTGGGACTAGGCTGCGAATGATCTAGTACTCGCTACCGACTTCCTCATCCTGCTAAGATTTGCGGAGGTTTTTCCGTCATGTAAAGGCTCTGCGCTTGAACTAGTCGTGCAGAAGAGTTCGATTTCATTGTGAATCACTTGGCAATCCTGAACAACAATACAAGAACAAAATCCCGCAGGACCATTCTCTGCCTTCTGATCTGGAGGCACATCGCGTGTTTGGGTGAGCACGCCGCTTCCACTGGTGAGTATGGTGGACTGATGGGCAGACATCAGGATGAAAATCGTGTTGAGGACTTGATCGCAGCAGCACGATTCCCTCCCTAATTGATGCGAAACTTTTCTAGTTTTAATTGATGTGGGTAGACGAGTTTTATATGTACTTAAAATATGCAGGTGCAGCGCGGCTTGTCCCTGGGTCAGATTATCTGTAGCACAGTATTGGACCTCGTACATCTACACTTTTTTTGAAAGTTACCATTTCTTTTGAGTAGGTTGTGGTGAAATGATAGAATTAGGTTTCCTGTTACCAAGCAATATTGAAATATCTCTGAAAGCCTTTACAAGAAGAGATAATGGTAGCTCGAGCCACATCGAATCAGCGTCGAGGACGCTGAAGTTTTCATGCAATTTTACTAATTAAAAAGGAAATATTGCTAATGCTTAAAATATGCAGGTACATCGCGGTTCGCCCCTCGGGTCAGATTATCTGTAGCCCCGTACTTGGACCTCGTAAATCTACACTATTTTTGTAAAGGCTACCATCTCCATTTAATAGCTTTCTGAACAGGTTGTGGTAGACTTATAGAGAATTAGGTTTCCTGTTACCAAGCAATATTGAAATATCTGTGAAAGCCTTTTACTCGAAGAGATAATGGTGCTCGAACCACATCGAATCATCGTCGAGGACGCTGAAGTTTTCATGCAATTTTACTATTAGATTAATTAATCAATTCCGAAAAATTTGAAAGTGTGAAAAAAGGAAGATAGTTATGGAAAGCGGAAGATCTCTGCTTCTGAGCTATCCGTTCGCCTTTTCTCCAAACTTCCTAGTTGAGGAGATATTTTCCCCGAGGGTCTATGCGTCAGGGTAGACTTTCGGCACTCAAAAAGTAGCCTCCCTCTCCACCACTGAAAGCTAATTTGTTGGTAACTCTCGAAATTTCTCTAGAATACTTCCTCCAACGTAAGCAATAAAAAATGGGGCAATCGTCACAGTCCAACTCTGTCTCGGTATAGGCCACGCATCCGACCCTCAGCCACATTGTAGAATCATTTAAAAGTGCCATGCGATGATGACCTGGTGAGGGAAACTATGTTGTAGTAAAAGCACTTTGTAACTAATATAAGCAAAGAAACAGCTTTCCTGCACAGAGCATTTCTATTCTTCCACCATTTTGTTCCGCTTTCTACTTCCTTCTCATAAAGCTAGAAGAATTAAGCGACTGACAAATAATATATTCATTATGTTTTCTCAAACGTCCTCGTTTTCTACTACGTTACACACTCCTCCCGCCTACCTGCACCATCACAGCACCGCTCACGTGCGTTCTACTGACCCTCATGATCACGACCCCCTATGACCCACAGTGAGAAATACCACCTCTCGTCGAGGATTTCCTTAGCTGATTTCTACCCTATCCGACATGGAGGAGTTCGCGGCTTGGAGTTGACGGGCGAAAGCGTTAGAAGCGTCCCCAATGTGCGCCTCTTTTGCAAAGTTTTCCTACAATAGTTGTCTGCAACAGACAAACTCCAGGGTAGAGACATGCCCTTTCGTAGCTCACTAGCGAGATGGAGGGAATTAGGTTCCTATCCCCCTAGCCCGGGCAAGGATCGACTCAGCTCTTATTGGGCTCCCACCGAATTCTGCAGCTCGTTGTCGTTAGGTTAGTTGTTGAATGCAGAGAGCCCAGAGTAACAGCTAACTAACAAGTCCAAGGATCGTGAGTTATCAGAAACGACTTGCAAAGAAAAAGAAAGCCGATTCCCGGTGGTTTATCCTTTGTTTTTGTTTCATTTTTATGACCCACGCAATAACGCAACGTTTTCCATGAACACTGTTTTTGCGACTGCTCTTTTTCTTACAACTGCAACTTCAGAATGGAGGTTTCAATGAGGCGGAGCTAAAGAAGATGCTACAAACACAGGGAATGCAGGTGATATCAGTTGTTTGCGCTGTGATTCTCAAATTAGTTTAAATTCGCTGATGTTTCAGGGTTACAGCATACAAGAGAGTCAAAATATCGAGCAGATCTAGAGAGAGGTAAAAATTTTACACATCATTCACTTAACGAGGGCTCAATATGTGGGCTAGTAAAAGCTAAATGAGTGAAGTTCATGACCAGGTGAGACATATCACATCATTGTCAACAATAGGATGTCTGTCAGGGAGTTGTACCAACCCACTGACAGAGAGCCCAATGCTGACAGTTTACTTGAAAACTGTATGTATTTCGAGATAACCATTTAGGAACTGCAGAAATGGGCATGGGGAGATGGTAATTAGCGTCGATGAATATGTTTGTGATCGGAATTTGATGATTTTCAATAAACTCGTTTTCTTGAATAGTGTGGTGTAATGCTTCTGATACACGGTTATCGTGGACACAACAAACTCACTCAAAAGTTGACTCTGGCAAATCAGTGCATTATCTTGAAGTGTGCTAATTTCAAAAAAAATTACTTCCTTTTCTTCCGAGTAAGGTTGCATAAGGATCTCCGAACTTATCGCTACATACACACAGCTTAGGCTAACATTTATGTCACTACTCCTCAACTACTACCGCGCTGCATTTAGTGAAAGAGTGAACAGTAAGCCGAAGAAACTCCAGCGGCAGTAGAGCCCCACTAAGACACTCTCACAATCAGACGACACCCCTTCACTCTTCAACGGTTGAGATATTAATAGCATCGTCGGCCTGATTCCCCAATCAAAAGATTCTCCAAAACTTGCCCACAATTGCTGTTAAATGGTGCACCGAGGGGATGGGAGCTGAAGGTGTACTTTACTGCTGGAGTAACCAATTGCGCGTTTTAGGCCGCTATTTCATCTTCTCAATCATCAACCACTATCCAAACTATGACCCACGAGAATCCCAAGCAGGGTCATGCGAACCATCGAGGAAAATTTGGATATACTGGCCCCCCTCCCATCCCCAGAGGCCGCAGTCCATGAAGCAACCCTTTTTGAAAGCCGAATTACAAAAAGTTTGTTTAATTCTTGCCCAGAACTGTGCAAAAAACGCCCTGCTGCATCATCGTCCACCAACAATTTCGTTTAAGAAGTACAAAGGAGAAAAAGTCACAGAATGATTATTATTGATGAGTCTCACCAAACCGAATTTGAGTACTGCACAGATTATGCTTCTCAAGTTACACGTCCCCCTTTCAGTTGAAGGAAGCCATGTAGCCGCCTTAGCCAGCTGGGTGTTGGACCAACACTGTTGGTTGATCTTTTGCGTTGGCCATAGAGCAACTTATCCACTACTAAAGTTTTAATTACATCAAATGATTATATCTTTCTTCAAATATGGCGAATTTTCAATGAGAAACCAGATTAGGGGGTTCTGTAAGGACTTTTTCTAATCAATGTTGCAATTACAAAAATTTTTGAGGAATAACAAAGTTAGATTAATTACGAGGAAAATCATGATGAGCACGAGTTTCAACACTCTCCGAAGTCATAAGTTGTTTCACTTTCGTTAAATTTGAAAGTTCAACATAGCAGACAAAAATACAAGATTTCCTCTATCACGCTTGCTAAAGCAATAACTCCTACTCCAGGACTTAAAAATTGACAACGGTGAGGATGTTTGCAAATTTAACGAGGCGAACTAGCCGATGAGTGCAAGCTTTTACGCGTTTCCAAAGCCATAACTTCGTTACAAATTGTCCAATCCGAAAGTGATACAATCTAAAACTAAGAATATTTGCTCTATTCAAACGGTGTTAAACACTTCATAAGTCCAGTATTTAGAAATGCCACGCGAGAATTTGTCTGTTACCGATTACCGCCCGAAAGATACTTTTTGGCTGCTTGGACACTATATCAGCGAATTTACAGCTTCTTCCAGATGCATTTATTTATGCTGAAGTTGGGGAGCGATTCGAATCACGTGCTTTTCTCTTCCCAAAAAAAAGAAAAAAAAAAAAAAAAAAAAAAGACAGAAAAAAAATAAAGTGTAAAATGGTTAGCGGGTCTCAACTCAAAGTTCACATGCTCACCTGAATTGACGACTGACTGTGGAAGACGCCGTTTTGTTTGAACGGGTACTACAATTTCACACAGTCTTCAGAGGCCTCTTGTTTTTTCCTGCATTGAGATTCTTTCTTCAAAGAGTCGTAGTTGATTGCGCGCCGCATCCCTTCAGATTTCGACGGAAAGATAAAATGCCCCTTGGAGAACGTTGCGAATTATTTCGAGTGGGTGGTTATTATTTTGTGTGTGATAAAACCAGGATCACTGTCGAAGGACAAATAAGTAAGAATTGCTAAGCGTGTGAAAGCCTTGCATTCGAAGTGATTAGGTTTGAAGTTCCGTTCGGGCAGCGTCGAGGACGTTGAAATTTTCATGCGAGCTTTTGTCACTCAAAAGGCAATACCTCTCTAATTTCGCAAAACCTTGAAAAAAGAAGAAAGTTTTGAAAAGCAGAAGGATTGCTCTTTCTAACTTTATTTTTGGCTTCCTTCTACATTCTTTACTTTAGGAGATAATTGCGTCGAGTATTTATCGAGGATGATTCTCAGCCGCTCAAAAAGGCGCTTTATTCCTCACCAGTGCAAGTGCATTTTCCTGGCAACGCTCGAAATGTGTTTAGAATGCACTCTTTCAATGCAAGCGAAAAGAGAAGGGGCAAACGTTATCGTTCGATATCGTCTGGGTACAGGCCATGCGTCCGACCTTCACTCGAAGTTGCAGTAATCGACTGAAAGGTGTTATATAATAAAGACCAGGCTGCATTGTAGTAAACAAATTTCGTAACTCTATAGCCTGAGGAACAGCTTCGTTTGCTCAGGGTCTTTCTTTCACTGTTCTCGTTTTTGTGACAGAGTCCCTAAACAATGCCATTCTCAACGGAGTATTAAGGGTGAGGGAGTGGGCGGTTGACGGAGAAGGTGCCTTTGCAACAATGTGCACATGTGAATCCGTTCCTTGTGGAGATGCACTTTCATTCTTTGTACTGCTTTCAAATACGTCCTTATAAAGGTAGAAGAATGGAGGTAACTGAACCTACAAGGAATATTCATGTCATGTTTTCTCGCATATCTTCGCTCTCTGCTGCGCTCCACCCTCTCCCTCCGATCTGCATCAGGTTGCCGCTGATGTTACTGATCCTATGCCGCAGCCTCACATGTGCGACCCCTCTGTCAAGGGGTTCCTCGAGCGATATTCACCCGGGCTTGTGGACGAACGTGTGGATTGCCTGTCGAGCGAGCTTAAGCGTTTTTGCGCGCACTTTTAAGCCGCAAAGGGGCACCACTGGTCAGTGCTTGTCCGCCTATCTACCACGATTGGGAATGAAACAATTAGCGTGACTAAGCCCGAACAGTGCCTTCGACGAAGTAGTAGAAAACCGAAGTTGCACTACATCAGCGCTTGGGTATAATAATGGGTACATCATGTACAGCGCATATAGGCTTCCCCAAATGTTGTTGATACCTCCGACATAAACGGATTTTTTCTCTCCACATTTTTGCTAGCAAGGCCCTAGCGGAGCTGGGTTATACCGTGAGGGGATCTTGAAATAGAACTAATGAAATCGTTCTGTTTTCTGATTTCTCTTACAAAGGCTGTTCTAAAGGATTAGCTTCTCTTTTTCATCTAGACTTTCCCAAAGATGTACTTGTTCAAATCTGTGACAACAGCAACAGATGAAGACCCGCAACACTCCATCTCGTTTCAGTGGCTTGAAATATCCGTTCTCGCATGCTCAAAACGGGTAAGGGAACTGTTCTGAGCGGGATCCGCTTGTCTCGATTCTTTTGGTCGGATTTTCGATGTGTTCATCTTGTGAATTTGTCGTAGCCGATTAGATTCTCCGACAAAAAATGCCAATCTATTTCTTTCTGAATTTGGAAGGGCGGCAAAATAGGATAGTCTGCTCGCACGGTAGTTGAAGGCGTCTTTGCCTTTCAAATAAGTAACAATTTTATCGGTCAGAACTTAAACTTCGTATCTCTGCCGGGGACTTCAAAAACTGTCTAGCAATTTTCTTGTCACGTTGACAAGATAGACCGTCCAATCCTATTATTCGTTTATCCCTTCAATGTACCCTTTGTCGATCGTAGAAAATTTGAAGTCACAATAATATTAGCGGATCTAAACTTGCTAGAACCTAATACTCTGTTCACTGACTGCAATTTCCACGCAGTTATCATCTGATTTCAACAACAGTGAAGATTATTTAGCCGTTCTTCAAGGTATCCTACCACTCGATAACTGATCCCTGGGAATCACTGTGTGCTTGTTTGCCTTTGTGTGGTCTTGTGAGGTATAAAAAAGCCACCGATCGTCTCCACATGATCACATACTCCCAGCTTCTTTCTTCCCCTCTGAGTAGCAGTATGGTTGAATCTGTACCAATTTAAATTAAAGTGGAGGAAATGGCACGCGTGCACATATCTAGGTGGTGCGCATTTTTGTTATAACCTCTTTGTTCTGTGTGCTTGATCTCTCTACCGCATATGAGACCGTGCATTCAAAATTTTCTTCAGGATAATCAATTAAGATAAGAGGATCTTTTGCATACTACATAAACATTTATGCAACTTACGGCTACTTCGGAGGATAGAGCGTTTTCACAATTCCAAGCTGCGCATCTTATTGAACGAAGGCTTTATCGAAAAGTGTGGCTAACTTCGTACGCTAGTCAAGATTCAACCTATTCAAACAAGTTAAAAGCACATTTTTCACAAAAGTGAGAAAAATATCTCGAGGCCTCACTGCTCTCCCGTTACACCCAAAACTGTGCACTCCAAAAGTGCTACATGTGGTACGCTTGATCACAACCAGCCAATCGAATGGCGCTCCTACCTATTTTGAAGCTCAATTCAGTCAGACGACATGGTGTTGATCGGATTAGGACAGTGTCAATATTTTGCGACTTTCCTTTAAAGGACGAATTTACGATGGAAAGCAACCCAATTCAAATTGAGGTAAGAGTGGAGAGTAGTACCAGAAAAACCACGAAAAACGGCCCGCAAACCGCGAGAATGGGACCCCTCCTTGTCCGTTGAATTGGAGCATTGAATGGGAACTCTCATACGCTTTGCCCTCTTCCAACACCTACGCTCTCTCAGCTATCTAATCACTCGCACCTATTGTACTACGGCGACGTGATCGGACGATCCGGTGGCGGATTCGCCGAACTCGCCAACTCTTGAGCCATGCTAGATCTCCAGAGGTCAATCTTCGATGCCGATTGCTGTCTGTCCCTGCACCCTCAAGGAGATTCACCGCTGTCCCCACTAAGCGGCTTGTGCTCTTTTCTTCTACCTTTTCGTTTC